ATATAAAACCTGGATATTCTGATGAATGAGGAATATGATTCCTCTTAGGAGCATGGATTCTGTCAGGCAGATATGCATCAAGATTCCACCTGTAATAATTAATTGAACATTTCAATACTCTCATTTTTTTTCATTGTTAAATGGATATAATACCCATTTATTAGGGTTACGGCGAAGATTTCAGCAGAAAGTACACAGCTGGCACTGTTATTAATTTAGTTTCAAAACCTGGCACAACACATAGTTGGATTTTGCTTCTTATTCCATTTTGCCAGTCTATTTCTCTTGATTGGTGAGTTGAGGCCCTTGACATTGTTGGTTATAACTGATATGTACTGACTTATTATAGACATGTTATTGGCCTTTTGTCAACTCTTTTTACTTTTTCACCTTCTCCTTTTAGTTTCTTGCCTTGCCTATTTGATTTGCTCTGTTGGGCCTCATGGTGGTGTTGTCTTCATTGTCTTTTCTGGCTTGAACTCTTTGGGTGACAGATAATTTTAAATGCCTCAGAACATGCAGGATCTAGCCAATGGCGCTGTAAGCTGAACAAAGCTTTAGTGACTAAGTCATAGTGGTTCTATTTCAAGTTAGGGAACTTTGTATTACTTTTAAAGGAAATAGCTGGTAACCATCATTTCACGAAGAGAAGCTAAGTCATACTGCAGAAAACAAAATAAATAAATAATACTGAGCAATTTCAAAATGACTGATACCCATTTCCTTGTGCCTAGTTCATATTTCAGAGTAAATCTCTGAGGTTTGAATTTGGCTAGATACAAAGACAGAAACCCCTTCTATGTAGAGACTTTGCATTTTATGTGCAGTACTATGCACTCAGGAAATCAGAACGTGGGTGTAGTGACTGGGACAAAGCTTCTGCTAAATAAATACGTGTTGAAGAAAGAATTAGTGACCTTTTGTTTCTTTTAAAAGACACCATTTAATGTGAGGGTTTGATGAATCTTTGGAGCTAGAATGGGAAGATTTATGATTCGTGCACCAAATGTGAGAAATAAACAGAAGTAGAGCTAAGAATTTTCACACCAGGAAGGAAATTGCTATAATGTTATGGCTGTGTTCACTGTCATCTTTCACTTTCTCCCATTCCAGACAGAGAGCAGAGCAGTATGAAAAAGGAGAACCACAGCTGTGTGTCCGAGTTCCTCCTCCTGGGGCTCCCCAGCCAGCCAGACCATCAGGCTATGTTCTCTGCCCTGTTTCTGGTCCTGTACCTGACCACGGTGCTGGGGAACCTGCTCATCATCCTGCTCATCAGGCTGGACTCCCGCCTCCACACCCCCATGTACTTCTTCCTCAGCCACCTGGCCTTCTCTGACATTTCCCTTTCCTCTATCACAGTTCCAAAACTGCTGATGAATATTCAGGCTCAGCAGCAATCCATCTCCTATGAGGAGTGCATTTCTCAGATGTATTTTTTCATTCTTTTTGGCTGTCTTGACAATTTCCTTCTGGCAGTGATGGCCTATGACCGGTATGTGGCTATCTGTCATCCACTGCACTATGTTTCTGTCATGAGAGAGGGGCTATGTGTCTTGCTAGTAGTTGGGTCCTGGTTTTTCTGTTGTGTCCATGCCCTGTTGCACACCCTCCTCTTGGTCCAACTGTCCTTCTGTGCTGAAAAAATCATCCCCAACTTCTTCTGTGACCTCACTGCTCTCCTGAAGCTGAGCTGCTCAGACATCTCCCTCAATGAGCTGGTCATCTTCACCGAGGGAGGGATGCTGTTCATCTTGCCTTTGAGCAGTATTCTGGGCTCTTACATCTGTATAGGAACCACTGTCCTGAGGGCGCCCTCCACTAAGAGAATCTACAAAACCTTTTCTACTTGTGGTTCCCATCTCTCTGTGGTATCTTTATACTATGGGACAATTGCAGGTGTTTACTTTTTCTCCTCATCACAGGATTCCAATGACAAGGATATAATTTCGTCTGTAATTTATACAGTAGTTACACCCATGCTCAATCCCTTCATCTACAGCCTGAGGAACAGAGACATAAAACAGGCCCTTGAAATGTTTGTCTACAAGGTCAAGTTCCATAAATGACGTTAATTCCATTTATTTTAGTCAAGAGCTCTGTGAAGTATATTTCCTAAAATTATTGTATAGTTGGCTACTCCACACAATGTTTGTTTTTTATGTTCAGTGCTCTTAATATGTCAGGTAGATCAAATTTGTTTTTTGGGTTATTATATCTTTTGTATTCTTAATAAATTTTTCCTTATTTATTATCTATTGTAAGATGTATAAAATTTTGTGTGTAACGTGTTGAACCATTATAATTGTGGATTTGTCTTTTTCTGCCTTTAGATCTATCACGTGTCATTTATGTATTTTTAAAACTCTTTTATAGAGGGCACATCAACTTAGTATTATGATTTATTTCTGGTGGACTGACTTTTTGGTGTAGTTGTGTGCTGAAGTGCGATGAAGTTCATTATGATTAACCCTTCCCAGCTCTTTTAGGACAATTTTGTTGGTAGTTCAAAATCAGCCATCGTGTCAATAATTACATCATGGTAATGTCAAATCCTACAGATGTTCATTATTTATTTGGCAGCACACGAAATTATTATAATTAGAGGGTATTTCACTTGATTTTTATTGATGGCTTCTACCCTAACATATTGATGTAGGGGGAAGAGATGTAACTCCCAAACCTACTAGATATCCAAAACCTGAGTTGGTGTTCTCTAAAATTGAAGAATAAATGCTAGGGACTGTAAGAGTAGGAAAAATTTATTGAAAGAAAGAAAGTAACTGTCTAAGAAATGCAGAAGAGGAACTGGAAAGTTGGTTGCCCATCCACCCCATTTCTCAAAGATGTTTTATATGGCTAAGCCATGTAGTGATGCAGGTACAAAGTTGGACAAAACTATATGACCCAATGGAAAATTACAAGGTCGGTGTGAGGTGGAGCTAAACCATGACCAACCTAGGTTGGAGATTGTTTCTTTTAAAGTTTAAAATACCTCACCCCAAGCTCTTCTTGACTGAGAGTTTTTGTTGAAAAGTCTGTTGTGAGTCTGATGGACCTTCCTTTGCATGTAATTTGTTTCTTTTCTCTAACTCTTTGTAGTATTTTGTTCTTCTCTTTGGCTTCCAAGATCTTGACTATTATATGTATAGGTGTAGATTTTTTTCTCATTGAGTTTGTTTGTACATTTAGGGATACAGTACAGTTACATTCATCATTGGGGTCTTGTACATTTATATGACAGGTCTTGGTTCTCATTTTTTCCTCCTTATCGCTGCCCTCCCTTCAACCCCTCCTCCCTTCCCTATTTACAAATACTTTGTTTCCATTTTTTCCTTGTCTCATATTTTTTTCTTTTCCCCTATTTCCTTTCCCCTACCCTTCCCACTTCCCCTACACATTTAGCCCTTTTCTTCCTATTTCACATTGTCAATTACCTCATTAAGATCTTATGTACAGTTATCATTTTTATAACAAAAATTGTTCGATATTTACACATTTGTGACTTGTTTATTTCACTTAAGAGTATGGCCTCAATATGCAGCCATTTTCCTAAAAATGATTCTAATTTTTCATTCTTTATGGCTGAGTAGTATTCCATTTTATAGAAAAACCACTTCTTCTTTATCCAGTCTCCAACTGATGGGCAATTGAGCTGTTTTCAAGTTTTAGCTATTACAAACTGTGCCAGTATAAACATGGGTGTGCATATATCACTGTAGTATGATTCTTTTAATTCTTTTGGGAAGATATCAGCAGAGTGGTAGCTGGGTCAAATTCTAATCCTAGTTTTTTGAGGTATATTTCAATTTTTTGGATGCTATTGTGAAAAGTATTATTTGCCCCATTTCTCTCTCCACTGAGTCTGTTTTTTCTGCACAGGAAATGTATTGATTTTTGTGCATGGATGTATCCAGCTACTTTACTAAATTTGGTTAAGTCTAGAAGATTTTGTTAGCATTTTTGGAGTCTTTTATATAGAGTATCATGTGCTCTGCAAATATTGATAATTTGAGTTCTTCATTTCCTAACTTTATTGAGTTTATTTCTCTTGTCTAAATGCGGTGGCAAATTTTTCCAAAACTATATTGAACAGGTATAGTGATAGTAGACATCCTTTTCTTCTTCCTGATTTTAATGTGTAGGATTTCAGTTTTTTGATGATTTTTCCATCATTTTGGCTGTTCATTTTTCATAGATGGCTTTAATCAGGTTGAGATGGAGACAATCTATTCCAATTTTTTGGAGGGTTGTTTTCATAAATGTGAGTTGGATTATGTCAAATGCTTTTTCTACATCTATTGAGATAACTATATGGTTTTTGTTCTTGGTGCTATTAATATAGTATACTATATTAATTGATTTGCATATGTTGATCCATTCTTGGATCCCTGGGATGAATCTGCCTTGGTCAGGGTGTACTATCTCCTTGAAGATTCCCTGTATTCTATTTCCAGTATCTTATTGAGAATTTTTGCATCTATGTTGATTAATGAGATTGGCCAATAGTTCTCTTTTTTGGTTAAGTCTTTCTCTGCTTTGGGGATCAAGGTGATGCTTGCTTACGAGAATAAACAGGAGTATTTCTTCCCTTTCAATTTCATGAAGAGTTTATTTTTTTATTTAGTTGATTTTATTTAGAGCTTTTTTGTTTTTTTTTTTTCTTTTTACATTTCAGAGCATTACACAATTACATTTCTCATTTTCCATGTAGAGCTTAAATAATAATGGCAGTAGTACCTCTCTAAATGTCTTGTAGAATTCAGCAGTTAAGCCAACAGGACCCAGGCTTCTTAGTTTATAAGTTTTTAATTGTTTTCAGTTTCATTGATTCATATTAGACTGTCTAGAATTTTACATCATCTTCATTCAACTTTGATAATTCATACATATCTAGGAATCTGTCCATTTTTCTGTGTTTTCTGTCTTATTGACATATAGATTCTTGAAATAGGTATTGATGATCCTCTGGATTTCTGCTAGGTCTATTGTAATTTCACCCCTTTCATTCCTAATGACAGGCATTTGGACACCCCCCCCTTTTTATAAGGTTGGCTACATTTTTGTCAATTTTGTCTATTCTTTTGAGGAACCAAATCTTTGCTTCGGGTGTGTGTGTGTGTGTGTGTGTGTGTGTGTGTGTGTTGTTCTCTTAGTCTCCATTGCATTAATTTCTGCCTAGATCTTTATTACTTCCTCCCTTGTATGAGCTTTGGGTTAGTTCTGCTCCTCTTTTTCTGAAAGTGTGAGGTTCAGCATCAGTTTAGTCAATTGAGCTTGCTGTTTTCCTAATATCAGTATTCACTGCTATTAATTTCCCTCATATGACTGATTTAAATGTGTCCCATAAATTCATATATGCTGTACTGAAGTTGTCATTTAATTATAAGAACTGTCTGATTTCTTAATTTCTTCAATGATCCACTGGTAATTTAGAAGTGTGTTCTTCAGTTTCCATGTGTTTATGAAAATCTTGTGATTTATTTTGCTATTTACCTCCAATTTCATCCCACTATGGTCTGATAATATACATGGGATAATTTCATCTCCTTTGCACTTACTTAAACATGATTTATGAATGAATATATGTTCTATATTGGAGAATTATCCATGTGCAGCTGGAAAGAATGTGTATTCTGATTTTTGTGGGATGGGATACTCTGTAAACATCTGTTAAGTTCATTTGTTGAAGAGTTTGAGATCTACTATTTCATATTTTTATTTGGTCAGGTTGATCTATGTATTTCTGACAATGTGGTATTGAGGTCCCCCACTACTATTGTATTAGTGCTTACATGATTGTTCTTGTCTATAAACATTTGTTTTATATAGTTGGGCACACTAATGTTTCATGCAAATATATTAATGATTGTCATCTCTTCCTCTTGAACTTTTCCCTTTACAAGGATGTAGTGTCCTTTTTTGTCACTCTTAATCAGTGTTGGTTGGAAATCCACTTGATCTTCAAAGAGGATAGCTACTCCTGCTTTTTTGGGGGGGGCTCCTGTCACATAGAGTATTGTTTTCCACCCTTTAACTTTCATTCTATGAGTTTTTTTAGAATTGAGTGTGTTTCTTGAATGCAGCATATTGTTGGCTCTTGCTTCTTGACCCATTCTGCCAGTCTATTACTTTTGATTGGTGAATTGATACCATTACCATTAACTGATAGGTATTGACTTACCTTTCTCATGACTTTTTCTTTTTGTTTAATTCTCCCCCTTTGCATTAATTTCTTCTTGTGTGTCATGGATTCATTCTGCTGGGCTTTCTGAGATTATGATCCTCATTGTCTTTTCCTAGAATATTGTTTAAAATGTTTTGAATTGCTGTGTGTATGACGTTCCTAAGGTGCTCTTTGTCATAAAAGTATCTCATTTCTCCACCAATTTTGAAAGATAGTTTTGCAGAGTACATCAATCTGTGTGGGAGGCTGTTTTCCTATAGGGCATGAAATATGTCACTCCATGCTCTTCTTCACTTGTGGATTTATGTTGAGAGAAGTCTGCTCTGATTCTGGTGGGCTTTCCTTCGTACCTGATTTATTTCTTTTCTCTAACTGCTTATAGTATTATTTTCTTCTGTTGGGTTTCTTGAGTTTTAACTATAACACACCCATGTGTAGTTTTTTTTTTTTATCATGGCTACTTGGAGTCCTTTAAGCCTCACTTATGTGTATGTCAAGTTTTTTTCCTCCTCTTGGGAAGTTTTCTGCCATTACTTTTGTGAAGTTTTTTTTGTTTGTTTGTTTGTTTTGTACTGGGGATCGAATGTTGGTCCTTGTGCTTGCAAGGCTGGTGGCAGAACCACTGAGCTAAACCCCCAGCTGTGAAGTTTTTTAATATCTTATGCATTCTCTCCTATTTCTTCATAGTCTCTAATCAGTCTTATGTTATTCTTTGCATTATCTAGCAGCTCTTGGATTGGTTTCTCATGGTCCCTTACTATTTTTAAGAAATTTTTCCTTTCCTGGTCACTAATTGCAATCCATCTCCTATGTTTGAAATTTTATCCTCACATTGGCTCATTCTTCTGCATAAATGTTCACTGAAGTTTGTATTCTCTTGGA